GTGAGTAAGATTTTGTCTAGAGTGGTATATGTAACCCATGTTTATCAAACCGGCAAAAAATCGCCAGTTAACCTTCGTTAACCATCCGGTTAAGTGTGCGCTCTAACGTCCGATTAACCGCAATTAAGCGCGAACTGGCACAAAATGTTCGGTTAACCGCCGTTAATTGACGGTTATTTGGTGAGCCGTGTAGTAATATCAGGTACAAATCCTCCTCTGAACATTTTTTCATTTTTCTTTTGAGTGTTGAACTTTCATGTGCTCCTGATTTATTCTAAGATCTTAGTAAAATTCGAGTAAGTTTCTCACTAAGGACTATGTCTGGTTTATACACACGTAATGGACCATATCTTCGTTTTTAAAGTTTACGACACGCATCTGCTTTCTGTTTTTCTAAAAAATGAACGCTATGTCATTCGAAATGTAGAAAATTGGATTTTAAGTGATTAATAAATTTAAGAAATAGAATTGAAGTAGCTGCTGGTGGACGTATCTATTAATTTATTTCTTGCATCTAAATATTTTGTACGTCAAATTTGCGCTGTATCTTAGCCGATGTAGTTATAAAGAAAGCAGCTCATTTTTGGCCTTTTTATTGAGTAATAAAACAGGAAAAGTTAAGAAAGTAGGATAAGTAGGAGGAAATCAGTAAAGTAAGACAAAGTAGGACGGGTATAAAGAAAAGTAGGAAGGCAGGAAGAGTAGGATGTTTACGAAGCCTGGACTGCGGGTCGAGACGCATATGTTTTCACATGTGTATGTGTACTTTTGCAGATACTTTTTACCTAAAATTATTTACTACTTTATTACGAAAAGACATTGCAGTTGAATTCTTCATGCCTGAAAACCTATAGCTAATCCAAAGATCTGGTTAACAGCAAATGAATGAGTTAATGAGTCGACAACTCTGGAATTCTTGAGAACCTGAAATTTAGTGCATGTTAAAGAGGATACTTGGTGCTATTTCACTAGGTGTTTTTCTGAAAACAGATACTTTTGTCAAAAATCATCAATTTCGGCAGGGAAAGTTTAAAATGCAAAACCTTCATCCAGTGCTACCAAGAAGCTGAAAAAGTACATGCTTTTTTCTGCTGAGTTAGATACTAAGACTCAAATTTGATTGTATGGATCTACAAGCGTAGGAGAATATTCGCTGCTAGAAGGATAAACTAATGAAAATTGGTAATTCTATATTTATGATCTTGGGGATGACAAAACAGATGTGTTATTTTCAATCTATAGTAAACATTCAGTACAACACATAGTTGAAAAAATATACCTCGACCGAGGCCACACTGTCCTGGTTTGATTCCCAGTCGAGGCATATTTTTCCAGTTGTGTATTGTACTAAAAATTATCTTTGCCATTTTCTGAGTTTATGGTTTCAAAAGCTCTTGTAAAACTATGGTAAACCATTTGTGTGTAGTATCGTTTCCAAACAGAATGTTGTAATGTCGCTGCTTTGCGGTGCTACGACAGAGCGCGCGATAAAAGAGATTAGGAGAGCATACTATACACTAATATAAAAATTCGGCATTCACTTTGGAGATAGATAAATGTTTTAAAAACTAATCACTTACGAGGGAACATCCTTAGATGTCACATAGCTTTTGACCTGATATTGTGTCCGCGCGTTTTTTCTCTGGTACAAAGTCTAAATCCGTTACTTCACAAGGCAAAAAACGTTCAAGAATACTCTACGAAACGATTCAGCAGGACTGTACGCCACGGATATCACTTTCTATGAGGAGCAAATGCCAAAACCGACATTCATTCTGTAAGCTACGGGCCTTTTTTAGAGAGTAGGCCTTAGTGAGACTAGAAAAAGCCTAAAAGAATTTGGGTTTCTAGAATTTTACAAATCCTTACACAGACATTACGGCTGATATTAAGATATCGATTTCTCTACAACGACGAGAGTTAAAGAGCTGGCACCTCAGTGTAAGCTGCACTCCACTCTGACTATATCATGAGAAACGGATGATGGGGGAAAACGTTTCGAGGTCATCTAGTAATGAGCCAAAGATTGGAGTTAGATGATGTTGTTTCTGTCGGACAGGTTGATGTAGACTTTGGTTGAGTCTGACGGGATCGAAGATTTTTTGCACGATCATCTTGTGCTGTCGATTGTAAAAGATATCCACCGGCTGAGTCATACCAGTCGTCGTTTATGAAATCATAAGGCGGATGTAACCCTACACAGATTCGCATAAGTTAGGAGAATTCTGGCTTCGTGTGTCTGCGATCATGTGAGTGGCAGAGTGCAGAGCCGTTTTAAGAAATTTGTGGCCCCTGTAACGTTTCGAACACATCAATTTGTATTTTTTTAATAATAACAAAATGCAAGGCTTAAGCCGTTCGATTGGGCCCCTGAGTCAGCCGGGCCATTGTGCTACAGCACAATTAGCACATAGGATAAGAAGGCACTGGCAGAGTGTTCATCAGAAAAACCGCTAGTAATCATAAAACAGTCAACCCAAGCAAATATCACCTATGCGAAAAATCTAGATACATTTCGTCTGTAATCGGGCGATACACGACTAGTTGCCGTCTAGATTACTAGTTGGAAAAGGGACTTTTAACTAGATGCGTCTGCAGGTGCATCTAGTAATAACTAAATCGATCGATTATCGGGCGATAAATCGATAGTTGCAACTAGAAAAAATCTAGTAATCGCCCGATTACTCGATTTCCATTGTCGTTACACAGTAGTTGCAATCGAGTAAAAATCTAGTAATCTAGATGAATCGGGCGATACTAGATTTTTTTTTTGACGCTTGGGAATAGGCGATATTTCTTCACAACTATAGGTTTGTCGTCTCGGATACTCTGCATTAACTTTTCTGGATTACTTTTTTCGTGTAAGGTCGCTTAGCACGCATGTAAACTAAGGAAAAATTCGAGTTTTAGCCTTAGGGCTTTTTGACGGAGCTGAAATGTGTCATGTATATAGCCAGAGTGGAGTGCAGCTCACACTGAGATGTCCAGCTCTCTAACTCTCGCTGTTGTGGAGAAATTGAAATTTCAATATAAATCGTAATGTCTGTGTAGAGAACTTGTGAAATTTGTATCTCGCCACTGAAGGCCTAAGGCGGTTCATGCACCGCTCGATAGAAGAATATTTGGTCTACACAATCCATATGTTTCCAATCCAGTCTGCATTCTCAAAAGTAAACATATGGGTATTTCTTAAGGCCGGTATGTTGAATGCAATATCCACAGCTATACGCATATTAAATATTGTTTCGTTTAGTTTTTACTCTTCATTTCATCTTTATCGTATGGTATATAAAAAAATGTTTAAAAACACTATATATATGTATATATATATATATATTCGCTATAGTGAAGTCACATTCTAACTAACTATCTAAAAACTATCTTAATTTACTTGTTTAGTTCCGTTTGAGTTGCATATGAATAAAAATATGATATTTGTAATCTACAAATAAACCATTCTATTAAACCTTTTGCCTTTTGATTATTGCAGAGCTATGATTTAGTTTCAAGATGACTTTACCTTGAAGTTTCATTAATTTCTGTCAGCTGCTTGTATCTGCTGTAATCGATTATCAAAATTTTGAAAAAAGATCTCGTAAAAATGTATAATCAGTGCAATCACTTCTGTAGAACTTGTCATAGTCTACAAAATGTGCTATATTAGTTTCTCACACGTCAACAAAGAAAACTTTTTTACTAATGTACGATAAGCATTTTCGAGCATCGTGACAAAAGATAAAATATTTAAAATTTCTCCAATCTAAAAGAAAATCTCGTCACAAATATTCTAAGAAGTGGGCTATATAATAATGAGAGCTGAAATCTGAAAATTTTGATTTGCTTCGGTACACGTTTTCTAAAAGCAATTACAAAAAATATAACACTGGATTCTTCTATTTTCCTGTTTTGGGCGAGCGAAATGCTATAAATTAATCAAGAACATACACTGTGAAAGTTTTACGGTCTTTGATTGTGACTAAGTTACACTGCAATTTGGAATTAATTTCTGATTTATAGAAAATCGATCTCGAAAATCACCAGCGATTTTCTGACTTTTATAAATTCTCTGTCGATTTTCTGGCTTTCTATAAATTTCTGATTTTCTATAAATTGACTTTTCATTTATTCAGAAAATCACCGTAGAATTTTCAAAAATATAAAAATTCGGCGTCGATTTTATAATATTCTAAAAGTTCGATCGATTTTCTATAAATAATTCCCAACATTCTTGCATCGAGTTTCTAAAATGTTGGAAAATCGGCTTCGAATTTCAAGAATCTTGGGAATTATTTATAGAAAATCGACCTCGAATTTCCGGAATTCTGGAAGGTCGAATTTTTTAGTTTTTTTTGTAAATTCAATTTTCTAGAATCTAGAAAATCCTTAAGGAATTTATATATGGACTTCTTGAAAACCACAGAGTATTTTCTATAAATAATTCCCGATATTACAGTATATACAATTTTCTTTTTTTCTGAAGGAGGACTCGAGAAGTACTGAATATCATCGATTGATAAAACTGTTTTTCTTTAGCTCAGAGCCTAAAACTGCGAGAATATTGTTTTTTACATTTGTCATAATTCAGAATGGATTGAAATCTGTTCATCCTGAGGCCGATATTTGTGACTGAGTAGTTTTTAGAAGAAAAACTGCTCATTCGAGTGAAAATCATTAATTTCGATGAATCGACAAAAGTTGGACTAGAGTAGTTTCTGACAAAAACAGATGTAGAATGAAATTTTTTGGATGTATGAGTTTTGAGAATGGGTCTTTCATATGAGATACGAAAAAGAGAAAGACACATTTTGCTGCAGTAGATCAATAGGCACAACAACTTTCTGGAATCGATGTAGTAAGTAATATCGCAGGTATATTATCACATTTTCTGTTCAGTCATAGAAATCACTAACGTCTGTTCTAACTCGAGAATTGATCTAACCAAAACTTTGATCTTACAGTTGCAAGTTATTCTCATGCGTACTCAATCGCAATATCATATTTCATAAGTTACCTGTAACAGTTAGATTATATTGTTTTATTGCACCCATTGTTTCACATTCATATATTCCCGTATCATTTGATTGCAATCGTCTAATTATAAGAATAGATGAACCATCTCGTTTTTCTAATAACATTCGTTTATTGAACTTCGGTAATATATCACCATTACGTGTGGCTATTAACGTTGGTCGTTTCCACCAAGCCGTATCAATTAAATCACATACAAATCGTACTTCACCATATTCTTGTTTATAAAGTGTATTTAATTGATGATGTGGGAAATTATCACTTACAATGAATGTTGGTATTGTCATTAATAGAATAATAAATGATCGTTGCTGACGATAAACAACAAATTCATTCATTTAAAGTTAAAACACAACATATCATTTTGTCGTCGTTTTTGTACTGCAAACAACGAATTTATATACATATATCAATTCGAATCAATAACCATGACCATCTAAAAAAAGCAATAATTCTTATATTCAAACTCTAATTGTAGAGAAGATTAATATCAATATCACTCAGCAAGTCAGCTGTCAGAATGTGATGTAGAAATCATTTTCAATAGAAATGTGACAAAATAAACTGTTTTGTGTGTGCTATGTTGTAGGTAATAGGAATGTACAGTTCTCGATTCTAGAACTGAAGATCGCAGGCCTGGTTCTTGACTTTGAACTGGAAAAATGTTTTTGAACAGTCATGATTCAATGAAGCAGAATGTTATTTTATCCAAAGACGAAAGGATTTTCTAAATAATGAGAGACATATATCTTTTCATAGCTTGGCTAATAGTACGTTGTCATTTTGTTAAAAGACAAAAAGATGAAGTGTGACGCAATAAAATTATGTTTTTAAAAGATAAACTGTAATATTTTTTTGTCAGCTTTTACCCTTGCAAGCTCATTAGTAAGGTGCACGCAAAGCAAAATTTTAGTAAAATTTTTTTTTCGATAAAAGACACATATTCGGATTTGCCAGAGCATGCTGATCACGAATATGAGCTTGAAAGTTGAAAAAAACCTAAAAATGCAAACTACTTAAGGTTGACCAAAAGTTCGTAGAACGATGATGCTCGCTCCTCTCACACCGTGATCAAAACCTTTGGTCAGCTCTAAGTATATTCTGATAGCGCTTGAATTTCTCTATCGTCCTATATATTTGTCTACTGTCCTGCATTTATCTATTGCAAAAATAACTGGAGTACAATAAAGATACCCTCAATTGACAAGTACGAAAATTCGCTACTTTTTATGCTTTTTCAAATTATAGATACTATGGAAATAAATCTTTCTGAAAGGAATTAAACATTCTGATAGAGCTTCGAATTCTCTATCATCCTGTATATTTTTGTTCTATCTTACATTTCTGTGCTGAAGAATAATTTGCAGGCACGCTTGTCAATTGAGGATGTCTTCATTGTACTCAAGTTATTTTTGCAATAGATACATGCAAGACAGTAGACAAATATATAGGACGATAGAGAATTTCCAGAGCTATCAGAATATACCTAGGACTGATCAAATGTTTTGATCACGGTGTGAGGAGGGGAGGGCGGAATCACCGTTCTACGAACTTTTGGTCAACCCTAAGTAGTTTGCATTTTTATTTTTTGTCGTTAGCAGTCTCTGATTGATCACTAATATACAATTATACCATTCGATGGGTAAAAATTTTGAAGACAACGTTTTTCTGTCTAAATGGCGCAGAAGCATTATGAACACCGAACATATCAAAGAGATATAACGAAATATAACTCTAATATTTGTGGTTAAAAGAAATCTCATTTCTGAAGAACTGCAGACTCGGTTTTGATAATGGAAGCGGAACCGACGTCCCGATGTCGAGGGAAGAACCAAAAATTAGAAAACTGTCTTTTCTAGTCTTACAGAGAATCAAGAACTGAACATTTCTGGTAGCCAAGCTTCAGAATGGGGAGCTGAGTAACGTTTTGTGTACAGTTTGTCGTGGTGTATAGTGCAATTCGTTTAAATCAAATTATATGGCATAATGATTAACTTCTTAAAACTCTGTCAGCAGTAGTTAAAATTTAATTGATTTAATTAGAAAAAAAACTTCATTGCACTTTTACTATTTCAATCTACTAGACGAATCATTTCACTTTGAAATAAAACAAACTCTAGTTCAAAATAGTAGCTTGTGACCGACAATCACAAGTTTTGTGCAAAGTCCGAACTGCAAAAAAAGACAAGAATTTTGCCTAAAATCTCAGAAAAAAAAAATTATCATTCCTGCGATCGGCTCTGCCGTGAAAAAGCTTCCACTATAAGAAGCTTTTCAAGAGCTACACATTAGTTAATGAAGAGTTTTTTTCATCTCAAAAAACTCCGTATAAAACCAACAAAAGTAATAGATGGTGAATCTGTTTCAAAATTAGTTCACGTGTATCTAAGGGATATGAGAAATATGGATACCGTCATTCTTACCCGTACATATGGTGTTATCAAAAATATGACATTTTGAAAACTCTTCTTATACTTTAACTTGGCTCAATTGACAAATAATTGTTTAACATCAAAATGTTCTATATCGATGAAAATAACACCGTGTCTATTTCTATTAGCGTTACAATTATTTGTCAAATATTGAAATTGATGTGTTGATAATTTAGTAAAGATCTTATGGTATATTTCTTAGTTAATTGACAAAGATGTATAGTTATAAACAATTAGCGATAATTTGCTATCCATTTTGCACTTAGTATTTTCCAAAAATCAGTTAATTTATAGTAATATGTAAGGATGAAAATTGGACAATAATGTAAAAATTAGAAAATTTGTCTTTTGAGAATGTCAAGATTTCGTTTTGTAAACAAATATTCTACTTTATAAATGTCAAATGTAAAAGAAAATTAGTTTTGTTTTACATTGATATAGAACATGTAACTAACATCATTTTTGTAACGGTAGCAAGTCCGTGTGATTACCTATTCAAAGATCGTAATATCAAACTTATATATACGACAGTCGGATAAGTATGTGACTATGTTAAGGTACCATTTCTTTGTATAAATTCAAGTTTTTTTTTATTATGTCTACGGGCTCTCAAAATTTCTTGTTCAAATTTCAGTATCCACTCAAATCAAATGTTCATATATCTCTTCAAGCAGGTTGTATCTCCTGTATTCAAAAGTCAATAGCACGTAGAATAATAAAAAACACATTCTCATTGTATATAGAAATGATGAATTTAACTTAGAATGGTGTTATAAAAATGGCACATATATATTAATACTATCACCTAACTAATAATACCAACAACACTCTAGCATATCAACGATTGTTCAGGGTAGTAACAAATAATAATTGTTGTATACATAAACATACAGCTGGGTGATATTTGAACAAGAGAGAAACTTTAGTAGCCAAGAAGCTTTTTACGTATAATAATCAACATGTATCAATTAATCCATGAAAATGTATTAGTTTATACATATGAGAGAAGAAAAAATAATGTTTCTACACATCATCGACCACATTGTATATATCAGCTCAATTAGACTGAGACGTTTATTATTTTATAGTGATAAGCTCTAATCTTATTCGTCTTTCATCACCTAGAGTCGATTCTGTTCAGAAAATATTTTCAGAGACTAATTTTCAGCAAAAAAATTTTTTAATTCTCTTCGTATCAAAATGTCACTCATTTTGTCTACATTAAATGTATGAACGAATTATCTAAGATAATTATTTTATCGAAACAAAATACTACTGATTTTAGTAGAAGCGTAATAAAAATATTGATTTTGAATAATGATAAACAAATACCATCACCAATATTTAATTTAATATAGCGATTGAATTTGTTTCATGATCTAATTTGTTCTTGGATGAGTTAACGATTACTATAAAGATTATTATATCATCAACAAGAGTATAAAGCATCTTAAATTCTTCGTCTATTTTATCAGAAAAAGCACAAAATATATTAAAAACGATGTGTGTTAATTCCCCATAGTGCTCATATTGTCAAACCGTATTAACAACTCAAAGTGTAGAATTATTTCTTCTTCTTCTTACAATTAGATACACTTTTAGTCTGTCCTTCATTATTATTGTAGCAGATACTGTGAATAAAAGACAGAAGAGAAAAGACACTTTCGTGTGTATAAACAGATATTTATCTTATTTTCTCTCTTACTCTCTCTCTCTCTTTCTCTCTCCCTCGCTTTCTCTCTGTACATCATGCATTCTGTATATTCTGTGCACGTTCAAGATAATTTCAATATTCATTGGATCAATAACTGTTTTTTCTTCACCAAATTGTAAACAGTTACAAAGATTGAAAATAACTTTAGAGAGTATGGAAATCTTCTAACAATATTTTCATTTCATTCACTCATATACATACAATAGCAGACATAGAGTATAATGATATTAACGGTCATGTATTGTTGTGAACACTAGTACTGAACATGTCAAAATTACTAAACAACAAAAGAACATGCCATCTCTCACATTGATCAGTATTATAAACTCAATGAGCCATTAACGTAGAAAAAAGGTACACACTTCTATTTTTCATTCAATATACGTGAAAAACCTGCACTTTTATTCATCCGAAAATGATTACCATATAGATCAATCGAATTCTAAACAACTAGAGTACCGCTATCTTTTTCTTTCAAAGAAAAATAAATCAATGAATCCTATTTAGGTAATGATTTTTTGATAAATATTAGGAGAGTAATATCAGTCTTAAGTAATTATAGTACAAGCATTCCTTCAACAATAAAAACTATCTCGTTTTCTTTATAAATATTCTGATCTAACTTCTCTCTATTAAAAGTAAATTAATGGGACAATGGTCTATGGAGTATGACGTCTCTATTTGCGTGTGAAGAAACAAATTATACTTTCTAATATAGACATGTAAAAACAACAATTTTAAAACTTGACTTTCATTTCTTTTTACTTACAGAAAATTTCCAAAGGAGAGAAAAACAATTACAAATGAAAGTTGTTCTTTTATTGTAGCTATATTTTCCAATAATGCTTTATGTACAACAATATGCGTCCTCGACAAACAGTAAAAAGTCATATAGCTCGAAGCAGATTGTTCTTGTTCATAAGATTATGAAATCTTAACGCATATAATAATAACATGCAAACACGACATAACTAAGAGAAGAAAAATCATTAACTATGTATAATAAAAAAAAAGTTAAAATTTATATTGAACAATGAACGAAACAAAAGGATATAAAAACAAAAAATATGTATGTATCATTTGATTAAAACAGCTGGCGCAGCTGTGGGCAGAACAACATACACGCACACACACACGATAC